TAAAGCCGCCAACCCCCTAAACCCCAAGCCGCCGAACCCCTTGTAGAACTGTTACCTTCCATGAGCCTTCGTCGAAACCCCTAAACCCCTAAACCCCCAAACCCTAAACCCCAAACCCAAAACTCCAAAACCCCTAAACCCCAAAACCCCAAACCCCAAACCCAAAACCCCAAAACCCCTATACCCTAAACCCTAAGTGCCCTCCCTGCGCCTCCTGCGCTCCCAGAGCTCCCGCAGAGGCCACGAAGCCGTCCCGGGCAAGGCAAAGAGCCAGGGGGAGCCTTCTTTGGGGTTTTAGGGTTTGGGGTTTTGGGGTTTAGGGTATAGGGTTTAGGGGTTTAGGGTTTAGGGTTTACAGATTAAGAAATTAAAAAACTCAAAATAGGGTTTAGGGGTTTAGGGGTTTGGGGTTTAGGGTTTAGGGTTTTAGGGGCTAAGGGGTTTTGGGTTTGGGGTTTGGGGTTTAGGGGTTTGGAGTATAGGGCTTAGGGTTTAGGAATTAGAGGTTTGGGGTTTAGGGCTTAGGGTTTAGGATTTAGAGGTTTGGGGTTTAGAGCTTAGGGTTTTAGGGTTTGCGGTTTAGGGTTTGGGATTAGGGGTTTAGGGATTAAGGGTTTAGGGTTTAGGGATTCAGGGTTTAGGGCTTGGGGTTTAAGGCTTGGTGTTTCGGGTTTTAGGGCTTTTGGGTTTAGGGTTTAGGTTTAGGGATTAGGGGTTTAGGATTTGGGGATTACGGGCTTAGGGTGTCGGGATTAGGGATCAGGATTTTGCGCTGAGAGGTCGGGGGCTTAAGGTTTCAGGTTTCAGGCTCCTTCAAAGGATGCGAGGGTTCCAGAAAAACCTTCTCCGGGGCCTTTAATCCCTAAACCCTAAACCCTAAACCCCTAAACCCTAAACCCTAAACCCTAAAATTTAATGTACGAGCCTGAATCACTAAAATAGGGTTTTCCACACGTTTAGATTTAGATCTTAGAGTTTGGGATTCCACTACGGTTTCGGGCGTACGACCTCCTCAGCCTTGGCCTAGACCCTCCGACTACCCTCTAATATTACCCTAAACACCCACTACTAAGGACCATAAGGGCTGCATGAAACGACCCTTGGGGGCCTTGGAGGGGTTGAAGGTGTTGGATTTAGGGTGTAGGTTTTGGGGTTTGGGGTTTAGGGTTTAGGGTTTAGGTAGGGTTTAAGATTTCTAAACCCTAAACTCTACAGCCCGAATCCCTAAACCGGTTAGGGAGTCAAGGTCTTGGGGTTGAGGGTTTGAGGTTTAGGGCTTAGGGGCTCCTCGGGGGTTTTGGGTGGAGGTTTGAGAGTATCGGCGTTGGCGTTTAACGGTCTGGTACTATAGAAGCCTCAAAAATGATCAATATGGTTCCTTAGGGTTCCTTATCATGTAATACTATAGAGGAACCCAACACCCTATTCTAAATTATTAAGGCCCCTATATTACATCCCATGGGGCTCCTGTGAAGAGGTTTGAGGGTTCCTTTCACGGCTGTCTCTGGTTTTCAACGGAGCCTCCTCCAATTGCAGTTCCTTTTCTGGGCTACCCCATAGGATCCTAGATATAGAAGTAGTTAGACCAAAACAAGGAACTACAATGGAGACTATAGGAGAATTTAGGGTGATCCACCCCAAATACTTTCTGGTTAGAGCCCTAAACCCTAAACCCTTTAACCCTAAACCCTAGACCCTAAACCCTAAACCCAAAACCCCAAAACCCCCAAGCCCTAAACCCTAAAAAGGCCTGGACCGTCAGACCCAGAGCCCAAAAGCGGCACAAACCCTGCAGCCATGTCACAAGCCCTGCAACCAAATCCTACACAAGAAACCGAAGATACTCCCCACTGACCCCTTGTAAGGTTTAGGGTTTAGGGTTTAGGATTTAAGGGTTTAGGATTTAAGGGTTGAGGGTTTGGGAGTTTAGGGTTTAGGGGTTTAGGGTTTAGGATTTAAGGGTTTGGGGCTTATGAAACCTATGACCCCAAACTGCCTTGTGGAAGCCTTATAGAAGCACTTGCCTTGAGGTTGGACCCCAACCGTGCCCCGAAAACGATTCTTTTGAGAAATAGGAACCCTGAATTCCTTAAAGGACCTAAAGCCGAAATGGCGCCCTACAAGAACCCGGAACCCTAAACCCTGAACCCTAGACCTCTCCAGTAACCCTTACAGGAACCCTCAAAGGCTCAAAGCACGGAACCTTTGTAGGAATCAAGTAACTAAACCCCTAAACCCTAAACCCTAAACCCGAAATCCCGAAACCCTAAACCCTGAACCCTAAACCCTAAATCCCGAAACCCTAAACCCGAACCTTAAAAGACCCTTAGAGCCCTGCCTTCCCACCAGGGGATCCAAAAGCCGCAGCCGCTTCGCTGGGGAGGGGCCCGGGGCCTGTCTGCAAGTTTTTGTTGATTTAGGGTTTGGGGTTTAGGGGTTTTGGGTTTTGGGGTTTAGGGGTTTAGGGTTTAGGGTTCAGAGAATCGGACCCGAAGCTCCCACCTTCCACCCTAAGGTGCTGTCACCAGACGGCGACATTTTTGGTATCCCGGCCGACGCGA